GGGGGGGGAGAAGTAGATTGGGAGGTGATGGCAGGTGATGGAGAAGGCATGGGGAGTCTGGAGGGGAGCTGTGATAAGGATGGTTTTAAATCCGAGGAGGTGACGGCAGGTAGATTGGGTGACGATCTAGGCTGTAGGAGCAAGCTTGATGAAAAGGAAGAGAACCAAATAAGCGAGGCGATCAACAAGAAATCTCATAGTTTGAAAAATCTTAATGCAGTGCATGTGATGAAGATATTCTCCCAGCTAAAACTTGGTCTGGCAGGGGCAGGTCCCACGAAAAACTTGGGTTTATAAGAGAAAAGATTAAGAAGCAGTAGGTCATTTGGCTCTGAAAACAGGGGGACAATAACACAATGCCAACCTGTGTCCTCTCATTCAGGAAAGGAGCAACAGAAGGACAAAGTGAGTGTTGATGACTCTGCTTCTGGCAAGAGCGGGACAATGCAAAACAACAATGGCGTTGATAACAAGACAAGGTGTGGGACTCTTCAAAACTTGGTGAGCAGAGAGGTCACAATTGGAAAGAGCCTGGGTTTATTTTTCTGGGGTGGTGAGGAGTTCACTAGAAGGGCCTTTGAGGAGTTTGAAAGAAGGAAAAGGAAAGAGAAGATGAACAATGAAACTCATTGGGAAGGCGGCAAGCGTTGGGTCAAAGATGTTTCAAGCCGGGAGGATGAGTTTGCGGTGGAAGATTGAGGCTTTGGTTGTGGAGCAAGGAGGGTTTAAGTTTCTGTTTAGGGGATTTCTTGGTTTGTGCTTGAGATTGTTTTGAGAAAAGCTTTAAGTTTCGCCAGTTTTGGTTTTATGGGTTTTAGTTTGGGACTTTTGAGATCTTTGTTGGGTTCTTTGGGTTTATTTACTCTTCGGGTGATGTCTTATCACCTTCCTGTTGTATTCTATTTTCTTTTTCTAATGAATTTCTATCTTATTCTTCAAAAAAAAAAAGATGACTTGCTTTGTACTTTCACAGTAACTTCTAATAAAATAAAGGATTGTATTTACTGATAAAAAAAAGAAAGAAGTACATCTGATAGTGATGAGATATCCCTAGAGAACAAATCTACAAAGGAGATGAAGAAAACATAAAGGAGACACTGAATAGAAAAAGGAGGAATACATAAATCAAACAAAAGGGAAATTATTAAGCCAAAACGGATGTTCCAAAAATCAGAACCAAGGTCTTCTTTTGTGATTTCTTCATCTGGGAGAATAAGAACCCAGTCTGTAATTCTTTATATCTGGAGGATTAAGGTCAATTAAGTGTGGACAGACTCTGTGCTGATCAAATGCTTGTAAAGGATTTCAGTAGTGAACAGTAACCTAAGTAAAAATTGATTGGGTAGGATCAAATTGGAGGAGGGTACAATAGGGTCTTAATGCTAGTGGCCTTGGCTTTAGTATTTTGGGATAACATATAAATTCTTTAATCTTTCCTCCTGGTGGAAACCCTAGAATCACTGCCTTTTGGAGCCCATTTTTTGGATTAGATTTGCTAGAATAATTTTGATTGGAAAAAGAACTAAATCTCCTTAAGAGGTATAATCACCTTAATGAATTCCATATTTATTTTTTCAACTTTCATGTGTAGTTTTCTAATTGTTCCATCATCCATGCCCTAATGAGTGCAAAAGGTTAGAAAAGGGATATTTCCAAGGAGCTTGGAAATTCTAAGAGCAATCATTTGATCAGTTGGGAGATTGTGTGTCAACAGAAAGCAGACAGGTATTAGGTATAGGTAGAATGAAAGATAGGAAACCTGTTTTACCGGGCCAGTGGTTGTGTACGTTTCTCAATGAGGTTGGGAAACTTTGACATTTTATGATAAGGAATATCAGTGTTGAGGGTAATGGATTGAATTCGAGCCTAAAAAGATGAGTTACTCATGTTTTCCCATGGACATCCATTAAAAAATATCTTGTGTCTCCTTTGTTGTACTCTTCTTGATTTCTTCATCGTTAATAAATAAACTTTTTACTGTTACAGGTAAAAAATTATCAAATTTTATGTAGGGGGCTTCCATTCCCCCTCCATATTTATGACATTAATATATACAACATTTTCCTATAAAAAAGATTAAGTTGCATTTTTAGTTGGATTTGTACTTGCTGATCATGGAGGTTAACCGCAGGTTGACTCTTTTCTATGACTCAGATTCTTGAAGCACCAAACGAGGAAGAAATTTCTTTGCTTTTGGAGATATTTGGGTGAGTCTCTTCACTCTTATATCTATGGCAGGTCACTTCACTTCCAATTATGTATCCTTTAATAAGGCTGAGTTTGGAAGGAGTACAAATGCAAATATGTAGAGTGCAAGACCTTATATTTTGTATTATTTTGTATGTATTTACGCTGTACATATTTGCATTTGTACTGCTTCCAAACTGAGCCTAAGGAAATGGATAGTTCATAAAGTATCCACCATAAAGTAAATCTTCAATAAGTGATTTTGTATACTTACATTTGAATCTGTCTCAGATGTTGGTTTGATCTGGATTTAGATGTTATGTATCTGTTTAATCTTTAGCATGTTTGTTCTCATCATATTCTGGATTTAGTTTTATAGGGCATTTGATCTGTTGAAATCTTGTAATGCTTTTGTCTGACATGCACATGATAGAACACATAAAGGAATTTTTCCATTTTGTCATTGCAAGCAAGCCTTCATAACTTTTTTTTTTTATGGTAAATGTAAATTTATTGAAAAAACAAAGAATATATACAAGAAGTAAATGGACCCTAGGCCCAAAAGCAAACAAAAAGGAAAGAAAAAAAAAACCCCACAGGGAGCAGCATAAAAAGGAATCAACCCTGGGCATCCATCTGGTTATCTTATAGGCTGCTTCTCAAGGAGCCTGAAACTCCTTATTTACTTCTCCAACTCGTATCAACTGGGATGGTTGCTTTCCTCAACCTCTGAGTTTCTTAATATTGAATGGCCCTATCTTGCTCTTCCAATTGCCAAAAAGTGGCCTATGAGAAATCATCTCCTCCCAGTAGAAGAGGTGACAACTTGTACTTCTTTTTTCTTTTTATCTTCAAAAGAAAAAAAAAGAGGAGGTCACAGCTTCTTTTCGACTTGAACCTCATCGTGGACAATCTGATCAACTGGAAGAGACCTATGCAGCTGGTAAACCTCATCAATTGTAACCCTCTATATCCTTCTTGATTGCTCCCCTTTCTCACTCTGACCCATCAACACTATGCCCCTTCAATGAGGCTATTTCCACACCTTGAAATATTTTCGTTCATTAATTGGTAATTTGGTATAGGGGAAGGAATGGACATTCAGGATGTCCTTGACCTGATATGTTCAGGGGTTTTACAAAAAGGTTGATGCCATCACTATTTGTCTTTTTCCCTTGTTTTCGTTTTACATTTATACATGTATATGTCTCTATGGGTTACAAGAGGATTCACATAAGGGGAACTGGGGATCAGATGGTTGAGGGACAGTACAAAGGTCAGTGGAGATTGCACTATCAGATTGAAGGGGTTGGGTTTTTGACATCTAGCGTGAGCCTTTCATTCCATTAAGTTCTTACTTCCTAGAGCTGTTGATTTGGCTGCAAATTATTTAATGAGAGAGGGAGTATTGAAGAGCAAGCTATAATGGGAAGTGTACTACCAACCTTATTTTAGAAGGAAAAAGAGAAATATATAAAGGAACCGAGAGGCATACATAAATAGAGCAGGATGGGCAAAATGGAAGGGGGTGCATCTGGAATCTCATGTGATAGGAGGAGAATATCAATTAGGCCAAAAGGAAAATTTTATAAAACGGTTGTAAGGCCAGAAATGTTGTATGGAACAGAGTGTTAGGTAGTCAATAAACAAGACGTGCAAAAAAGGGTGTGGCAGACATGCAATTGTTGAGATGGATGAGTGGGAAAAATAGAATGCGTTAGGATTAGAAATGAACTTAGTCAAAGAAGTGATTTGTTACAAGTTGAAAGGGGCTAGAAAGCTAGGGGCAAACCAAAAAGGAAATGGGTTGAAGTTGTAAGAATTGATTCAAGGGCTCATAATTTAACAGTGGATATGACACTGAACAAAAAGGAATGATGGTACAGGATTTATGTAAGCCGGCTCCATATAGTTGGGACAAGGCTTAGAGGATAATGATGAATTGATGATATGTACACTGAAGAGTATTTTTTTTTCTATCAATAACTTCAGATTTCATTAAGACAGAAAACATGAATTACAAGGGGGGAGAGCTAAAAACTCTTAACTCTCCCCGAAGATAAAAACAATTTTTACAACTGAGCCCAGAACAATTGATTTCTTTCCACCCCTTTTTTTTGCCGAAGCATCAGAAAAACCATTAATGATTCTTTCCACCCAACTAATCCTCACTTCCATGTCTCTTGTCAACCATTTGAATTTCTTCCTTTCATTGCAATAATTCTCACAGATCAGCTTCTTCCTTTTGCAACCACCCCACCACCAGTTTTGAATCCCTTTCTATGATCAGTTTACTGATATTCATATCCTTTGCTCTTTGCACTCTTTCCATCATAGCCAAGACCTCAGCCCTTAAAGAGTCTCCTTCACCCATTGGCCCAGAAAATATGCCAATAATGCTGCCCTCTTCATCCCTGAAAATGCCATCAATCCCTGCACTACTCCCATCAAAGTTCAGCTTTGTGAAACCATGGGTCGGTGAGAACACTGAAGAGGTATGCAGCCAGAAGCATCATCCATATTATCGCCGGTTTGTGACAACAAATTCCACCAAATTCTTGCTTACATAGCTTCCTTATTTCTGGCCAAATCAAAGGTTGTTGGGTACAAATCTGAGTGATTGATCTCCACAACAGAGGTCCCTCCAAAAGTTAGTTCTTCTTCCATTTTCTACCATAAATCAAACTCCCTTCCTAAAAGCTAAATGTTCTTTATCAATACTTATTCAAATGCAGTCTCCCAATCAGTGTCAATGGCCCCATAAATAATCTAATCTTACAATTACAAACCTTTTCTTAGTGATTTTGCTTGAAACTTCTGGGTCAAACATTATTGTTGGAAAGCTTCTCTTAGTGATTTAACATGCAAATCTTTTCTGATGGACAGATTCATGTAAACGTTTTCACGTATCAGCCAATCAAATGAGCATCATAAGAACTAAAGTCTTGAGCAAGATAAAGAAACAAATTTAATATAAGTTGGATTAAACTTCTCTATTAGTTTCCCCAAAATATTGTGAATAACTATTCAGAAGTAGAGGCTACAAGATCAACTAACTGTGATTAGTAGACCTGAAATTAATCAATCTTGGAAGAGCTGCACAGGCAGACAAAACTTCCAAAGACATAGGTGAATTTGCTAGGGACCTCACATATGGGGTCGGCTACATGAATCCTCATCATCCATGCCTTATCCCAACTATATGAATATGGGGTCGGCTACATGAATCCTTTTCCCCAATCTGTTCTATTTAAAGCCATATCCACTGTTAAGTTATTAGTGCTTAAATCATTTCTTACTACTGCCCATGTTTTTTTCGGTCTTGATTTTGCTAGGGACCTCATATATGGGGTTGGCTACATGAATCCTCTTCATCCATGCCTTATCCCAACTATATGTATATGGGGTCGGCTACATGGACCTTTTTGTCAATCTGTTCTATTTAAGGTCATATCCACTGTTAAATTATTATTGCTTAAATCATTTAATAATACTTCTATCCATGTCCTTTTTGGTCTTGATTGAACCCAACTAGGGTCCTCAAAAACCTATTGCTTTGGTTCAAGCGAGTGACTATGTGAAAAGATTCCCAGAAAAGATTTGCATGTTAAATCATCGAGGGAAGGGGTCAGCATTCAAAAGAAGAACTGTTTTAGTCCATGAAAAGGAGGATGAGGAGGAAAGAAGTAAAGAAAGAAAATAAATAAATATACAAAACATACCTGTAGTGTCTGTCCATCTATTCTCTGAGACTGACTTCAGTCCTTCCTCCAAACAGTTCAATCAAAGGAGAATTTGGTGGCTTCTTTGCTTCCATGTGCCTGATTGAACCCTAACAAAAGAAGAGGGACAAGATGATTAATATAATGTGTTAAAATAGTAAATGATTCAGTGCACCATTCCTATTTTAATACTGTAAGACACACACACGTATATATATATATTTATATAAAGTGCTTGCCTGGTCTTTTCAAGTTGCTTAAACGCCTTCCTTGAGCACCTAACGATTTTGGCATGTTCCTTTGTCAAATTATTTGTGGTAATTCATTGATGCAGGCACCTAAAACCACTTAGTTGCCTAGGTGTGACCTTGACAACTATGCCAAAGCCCATTCTACTGACTTGGAACATCTGCCAGTTTTCTTGAAGACCTTAATTTTCCTAAAAAATATGTCTGTTCCTCTCTTTCCAAATGCCAAAAAAGACTGCAAAAGGGATGATACTCCATAAAATTTTACCATTCTTTCCACCTGGAAATCCTGGCCATCTGGTAAAACTTTAGATGTAAAAGGGACTAACATTTTGATATATAAAAATTGTAAGTACAGATCTAATCCTCAATCTGATAAAAAAAAAACTTTGCAGGAATAGGGCTGCCACTATTCCAAGATGCCCTTTTGTACCACTAATCTTATTAATCAATTGGCCATTGAATTATGCTGGGGTAATAAGGATTAAGATTTCTAACGCTCAAACGTCTATGTTGAGTTGATCTTAATTTGAAAGACCTCCCAGCAAAAAAGCTCGATTTTTTTTTTTTTTATTTTGTGTGTGCGTGGAGTAGGATAAAGCCATACAGTTATTTCTTGAAAAAAACAAAGGAATAAATGCATTTGGATCCGGGACTCCATAGAAGGATAAGCAGAAAAGAACAATTAGATTCAAAGAACAGATCTTATTATTATCAATGGGCTAAGAAAGACATTTGGTAGAAGATTGGGTGACAAGATTACTTCAAAAGCTTCATAGTCCTGTAAAAACCTTTCAAAATCCAAAATTCCAATATAAACTAGGGAATGACCAATTAGACATTAGTGAAGTATTAATAAAATTTTGGTAGTGGTTCTCACTGTTTTTATAAATTCAGAAAGCTTCATACTTGGGACCAACTAGAATTTTCTCTAAACCTCTTTTTGTTGTGATTGTTTTCAGCCTCTGTCTTACAGGGGGAAGGGAAGTACATAATGCGATAGTGAGCAGTATACAAGATTTGGCAAAATCATTCTCAAGCTACCAAGATGAAGTATTGGTAAATAACTAAACTTCACATAGCTTTTAGAAATTGGGAAAATCTACTTATGTTTTATTATTTTCTCTTGGTTGTTTTATCAATATCTTGTGCATCTTATTGTCAATGGATGTTTCATTAAGTATTATATGGGGTTAGTTGTACGATCTACTAGATGTGTGACAGTACCCTATAGATTTTCCCTATAAATTATGAAACTTCACAAAAGCCAAGGATCTGGGGGTGAGAAAGCTTGTTGTGGAAGTTGATTCCAAAGTGGTGACAAACTGGCTAAAGCAAGTTGAAATAATACCCTGGCAATTGAGAAATGAAATCATGAAACTTAAAAATCTATCCAAGGATATGTAGTTAATAATTCAGTAGACCCCAAGAGCGGCTAATGGATTTGCAGACCAGCTAGCAAAACAAGGGGTTAACAGGGATCATTGTTTTTGGGCTCAGTTGTAAAGGTGAAGTACTAAAATTGAAAGTTGACATGTCAAGTTTAGTGGGGTAGCTGAGGCTACACAGGATCTGTAATCATAATTTGCACCTTTTCCTCATATTAATGATTTACTGATCAAAAAAAAAAAAGGAACTTCACTTAGTGCTGTATCTTTTTTCTTTTGACTGGAAACAGTTACTTCATTGATGTTGTATAATTGTCCTTCTGCCTGTCTGTCGATTACAACAAGGATATAGGTTCCCCCTTCTGCATGTTGAGCCCTATTAGACCTCTTTACCTTTTTTCTAATGGTTAATGACTAATATTGCCATTGATGTTTTTTCTATAATAAAAAAATATATTAAAGGAATATAAGAGTACAAGAGGAAGGTGACAAGCAGTCACGCACAAGAAGGGAAAAAAAAGACCTCAGAACTAACAAGAATCAAAACAAGACTACAAAAAACCTCCCCCTAAATCACCCTCAACCACCTCACCCCTGACCCTCGCAACTACAGGCATTCATCAACTAACAAATAGGGACAGCCAAAAAGAAATTCACAAAACCTCCATTAACCCTCCCCCTCAAACACTTCATCTCTCCCATCATCTGCTTCGTTCCAGACTTCTCCTTCCCCCACATAAACTTTTCTCAAGCTCTCCTTCCTCCTCTCAAACTCCTCAATGGCTCTTCTAGCAAATTCCTCATCTCCCAAGAAGAACAAACCAAGGTTCTTACCATCCTCGATATTTTTCTCTGTAATTTTCTCAATAGACAAACCACCTTCCTTCTCCATTTCTTCTTCCGGCCTCCCACCGTCCATTCTCAAATCAGCTACCTCCCCTTCCACAATTTTCTTCCTCTCCTGCTGCAAAATTTCCAGCTGCCTATTTGAATTAGTGGGGATGATGGGATCTCTCCTACCAGTGCAAACTGAAGCTGAAAATACTTGTTTGACTTGCACTAACCAGGCCAAGCTTCAAAGTCGAGAAAATACTTTAGTAACGTGGACAATATGCATCTTACCAGGAGCCCGAGACTTTCTAGGGACTGAATCAACAACAGCAACCTCAAGACTTTCCTTAGATGGGCCAAGGGACCCTTTAAGTACTCACTTGACTGGGAGGGGGGGATGAGTTGATGGACGATAACAATCGTCTATCTTCTTCTCCTTTGAATCCCTCCTTTCGATCGAACGTTTCAGGCACAGGGCCTCAAGACTCTCAACCCCAAAGCTCTTTACAGTGGGTCCCTTCCAACATAGTGAACCGTCTCTCACCTGATAGGCACAATCCAAGGTGTCTGAAATGTAGTGATATTAACAGAACAGAGATCGAAGACTGGCCGAGTGAACAAGATAGCAGTGACGATTCTGATAGTGATGAAACTGTAAGTTTGGGAAGTGTGCTTCTGAAAAGCAACAATAATCTACTTGAAACAGAAAGTTTGCACACAGAGCTTCTGTTTATAGAGGAAGAGTTCGAAGATGAAGGTTGCGGGAAGGCTAGAAATGGTGAAGAAATTGGTCCTGAAGCTGTGCAAGCTCCTCTCCCCTCCACCGAGGGAGCCGACCCTGAGTCTAACAAATTGCAGGATGTTGGTGGAGAAGGACAAAAATCTGCCATGAGGGTGGATGTGGGCATTCTAGTGTCGAAAACACATAGAAAGGAATTCCAAGTGGGTAGGTAGTCCGAAAGTGATACTTTCACTACGTCTACTTCACAACATTGTCCAGAAAGGGGAAAGACCTTAAAACCAAACAAAACCTGTCAGCAACTCAAATCCAGTGGTCCTAGTCCTCCCCCCATCCTACCATGTATGGGTGTCATTTCTTTTTTGGATACTGGCTTGTGTGCTATGCCTGTAACAGATACTCCAGCTTCCCATCTAGGAGGATTTGATGTAAGAGAGAGGGTGATAGTGGAAGGAGGAGAGAGGGTGGTGGAAGGAAGTGGTAAGGGGACAAGAGGAGGTGGATAGAATCTGGAAATTGATTTGTACAGGGCTGGAGGAACTAAAAAAAGGAAGGAGTCATAGAGAGCCGTTGCAGCCAAAATGAGTGCGAGTGTGGTAAAGATCTATTTTAGACATTGGGTGGAAAGGATGTAGAGAAGGAAGAGGATGCTTATTGTATTAGGAAGGGGGAAAAAGGAAAAAAGAAGAAGAAAAGATCTGAAGTGGAAAGGCTAATCTCGGACATTGGGGGAGATTTAGAATTTAGTGGTAGAGGGGATAGGAGGAAGGGCCTAAAATAAGGAGACAAAGGCTTCTTCATGTGTGTTTTGCTATTTTTGTCTCGATGAAAATTATTAGCTGGAATGTAAGAGGCCTAGGGAGTGCAAGAAAGAGAAGGGTGATCAAAGACCTACTCTAAAGGGAAAAACTCAACATTGTTTTTTTACAAGAATCCAAACTGATGGAATTAGATGGGAGATGGGTTAGGAGTTTCTGGAGGTCTAGAGGTGTAGGTTAGACTTTGGCTCCTTCTTGGGGAGCCTCGGGGGGGATTGTAACATTGTGGAGGGAGGACGTGGTGGAAGCAGTGGAATAATTGATAGGAGGATATTCTCCATTTCCATTAAGTTCAAGAATGTAGAGGATGGGTGGGTATGGGTTCTAACCAATGTTTATGGCCTTAACTCCTATAGAGAGAGAAATGAAATGTGGGAGGAATTATATGCAATCAAGGGGTTATGGGATGGCCCTTGGTGCCTGGGTGGGGATTTTAACGTCATTAGATTCTCTGAAGAAACCAGTAGTCCCCAACAGGTAATCACAACAACCATGAGGAAATTTAATGGTTTTATTGAAGATTGGAGTTGAAGGAAATACCAGTTGTACTTGGTCCAACCTTCAGGAAACCCCTTTGTGTTCGAAGTTGGACATGTTTTTATTTAATCTAGTCTGGGAGAATAGTTTGGAAAACTTGGTTGCTAGAGCATTACCTAGGGTCACCTCTGATCACTGTCCTATCCAGATAGGCACCAAGTCTTTTCCTATTGGGTCCAAACCTTTTAGATTTGAAAATATGTGGCTTACCCATCTAGATTTTGTAAAAAAGTGAAGGAGTGGTGGGGGTAAGGTGGAAGGGGGTCAAGTTTCATAAGAAGTTAAAGAGGTTGAGAGTCAAAATAAAAGAGTGGAATAGAGATCAGTTTGGCAGAATTGAGGAGAAAAAATGAGCCTAATCTCTCGAATAGAAAACTTGGATGTAAAAGACTCCCAAAATGGTTTGACAAATCAAGTGGATTAAGGAAGGCAATGGGAACACTAGATTTTTCCATGACTTGGCCAATGGGAGACGAAGGAAGAATTTTGTGACCAAGCTAGAGATAGAAGAGGAGGTGATTACCAACCGGGATGAATAGCTAGAAAATTTGTGGACCACTTCAAATCGATCTATAGAAGACCTTTGAGTGAGAGAGCAGTCGTGGGAGGGGTGGAATGTCCAAGACTTAAGGACGGAATGGCAAGGTGGTTGGAAAGGAATTTCAAGGAAGAAGAGATTAAAAAAGCTGTCTTTCTAATGTTTAGATCCAAGGCTCCAGGTCTAGATGGCTTTATAATGGCTTTTTATCAAGACTGCTAGGAGGCACTAAAAGAGAATTTAGTTGAAATGTTTAAGGAATCTGCAGACAATCATGTAATAAGCCTTGGAATCAATGCCAATTTTTTGCCTTGATCCCTAAGAAGATTGATGCCAACCACCTAAAAGATTTTATGCCTATTAGTCTGGTGACAAGCATCTATAAAATTCTAGCTAAAGTGCTTTCTTTGAGGATCTAAACAGTTCTCCCTAATATCATCAGTGAAACTCATGGGGCCTTCATTTAAGGGCGACAAATAACAAATCAAATTCTAATTGCGAATGAGTGTGTGGAGGAAATGAAAAGGTTTAGGCAAAGTGGTTTTGTTTGTTAATTGGATCTTGAAAAGGCCTATGACTTGGTGGACTGGGAGTTTTTATTAGAGGTGATGAGAAACTGTGGATTTGGGGACAAGTGGTGTAGTTGGATATTTGGGTGTATTAGTACCTATCACTGCTCTATTCTGGTAAATGGTGTGGTGAAGGATTTTTTTCTAGCTTGCAAGGGCATCGGGCAAGGGGATCCACTCTCTCCCTTCCTTTTAACCTTAGTAGCTGTTGTATTCAGTAGGATCATTACTAAGGCTGATAGAGAAGATGCCATTAGGGGTTGGAGAATAGGGAGATACCAAGTCCCAGTCACCTGCCTTCAGTTTGTAGATGACCTAATGATCTTTTGTGAAGGAGGTTTTAGCAAGAAGGTGGCAAACCTAAAGGAGCTAAACAAAGGATTTGAAAGGGTTTCTAATTTGAAAATAAATTTGGAGAAGAGTTGCATAGCGGGTATAAATTTGGAGGTTGGGGAGATTGAGGTTATTGTAGAGTGTCTTGAGTGTTCTATCTCTTCTTGGCCTATGCCCTTCTTAGGGCTTCCATTAGGGGGCAAATCCTAGGGAGAGCAGATTTTGGACCCCAATGCTAGAAAAGTTTGAGAAGAGATTAACTTCTTGGAAGAAGAATTACATCTCTTTGGGAGGGAGAACACCTTAATAAGAGATACTTTGGCTAACTTACCTATTTACTTTCTATTTGTTGGATACCACTTAGGGAAGCTAGGAAGCTGGAGAAGTTGATGAGAGACTTCCTTTGGGAACCGAGACAAGGAAAAAAGGATCATTTGGTTAAATGGGAAATTGTTTGCAGAAGTAAAGAAGAGGGGGGGTTTGGGACTTGAGAGGGTGATTGAAAAAAATCAAGCTCTGTTAGGGAAATGGTTGTGGCAATGGCCATCGGAAAGTGAGAGGGTGTGGCATGAGGTGGTGAGAAGCATTCATAGGAGTTCAGAGAATGGATGGGATGCTGGTGTATCAAGGCAGGCTAACCTAGCAACACCTTGGAAGGCCATACACAGCACCCTTCCTCAATTTCTCAATTTTATCAGGTGTGAAGTTTGTTCTGGAAATGCTGTTCACTTTTGGTCTCAAAATTTGTCTCACCCTCAAGAACACCCTTGGCTCCTAATTGGGGTTTTGTAGGGGACTAAGGGATATGAAATTGAATCTCTCTCTGACTTGCTATGTTGCCTTAATCAGGTTTGCTTGGATCCCTCCAAGCTAGATAAAAGGGTGTGGGCTCCTAGACCCAAAGAAATCTTTACTTGTGCTTCTTATTTCAAGTCCATCTCTCAATCTTCTGCTCAGCAACCTTTTTCGTCAAAGGAAATTTGGTGTAGGCCAGTTCCCCCAAAGATTATGGCGTTTTGTTGGGAAGTATTCTATGGGAAAGTAAACACTCTAGATAACCTACAAAAGAGAAGACCTTTCCTCTGTATTTCTCCCAAGTGGTGTATCCTCTGCAGAGCTCATGGGGAGGATTGTTACCATCTACTAATATCTTGTCCATTTTTTGCAAACCTTTGGGCTTGGTTACTTTCGTTGTTTGGGAGTAGTTGGAACTTACCAGTAGAAGTTCGCATGATCTTTGACCATTCTACTTTCTCTTGGCTTACAAAAAGAGGGAGACTTATGTGGAGATGTGCTTGCGCTGCTCTGATCTAGACTCTTTGGGAAGAAAGGAATGCTAGAATTTTTCAAGAAAAGGAAAGGAGCAGTCAAGAACTGAAAGACTGTGTGTTGCGTGGGGCAATCCTTTGGCTGAAGACTTTGGAAATCTTTCATCAATTCTCTTTTAATGACCTTTGGAGAAACTGGTCAGCAATATAGAGGTGTTCACCCTTAAAGGACAAGTTAATTACAAGCTGGTTCCTCCATCTAAAGGCTCACTGAAGTTGAACTTTGATGGAAGTAGCATGGGTAATCCAGGATTATCTGGAATGGGGTGTGTTCTGAGAAATGAGAATGGAGAGATTGTCTTGCTTTACTCTGGTCCTTTAGGAGTTGGAGACTCTATCAGGGCAGAGCTATTAGCTGCTGTACAAGGGGTGCAGTTTGCAAACCGATTGGGTGTACAGAATCTGATAATTGAAGGGGATTCCAAGGTGGTGGTGGGCTGGCTGAAAAATCCTGAAGATGCTATATGGTGCTGCGAGAACAAAGTGGAGGAATTCAGTTGGTTGACAAGGAATATGTTGGTCTCTCTACAGTGGGTGGGGAGATCAGCAAATACTTTGTCCGATGTGTTAGCCAAGCAAGGGGTAAATAGGGAATAATTGTTTTGAGCTCAGCTGTGATTTCTGTATTTTTTTCCTAGTTTAATTGTAAGATTCTAGGAGGGGCTGCAGCTCGCGCCTCTTCCTTGGATGTTGTATGAAATCACAACTCTAAATCAGTTTTTGAATTAATAAAATTTTACTATTACTCATAAAAAAAAAACCTCAAGACTTTCCTCAACCTTCCTCCTGCAGCCCACTACTTCCTCCAAGAAAAAACGAGATCAGATAAACTATCATCCAAAGAAAGAATCGTTCCCTTTGCTTGTCTGACGGATCCTCCCTCTTCATCTTTGACCTTTTCTTTGACTTTCAGAAAATCTTCAGCTTCTCTCTCTGTCTTCCTTTTCACCTCCAACCCTACTCCACGCCTTCAGATTCATCTTCTGTGCCTCTCAGGTGAAACTCCTCCTGGGCAGGGTCACACATTGCCTTGGCAGAGGAGAATCCTTCTGACCAACAGAATCACTGCAAACCTCCAAATGACCATTCTCATTGCCTCTTCGATCACCACTTGACCCAGAGTCAAATGAACTCCTTACCATTGAAAGAAAGCTGCCATTTGCTTCTCCGATGGATCCTCCAGCTTCATCTTCTACAATTTCTTTGAGTTTCAGAGAATCTTCAGCTTCTTTCTCCCTGTCCTCCCTTGCGCCCCCGACTCCGACTCCACCCCTTCAATTTCAGCTTCTGTACCTCTCGAGTGAGACTCCTCCTGAGCAGGGCCACACACTTGACTTGGCGGAGTAGAATCCTTCTGATCAATAGAAACATAGCCTACCTCCAAAGACTTACAGTTCCTAAAATTGCAAGTCCCAGAAGAAAGATCATTCTCATCACTTCGATCATCACTTAATCCAGCAGGCTTCTCCACTTGGACATCTTTAGTCTGTTTCTTACCTTCCATGTCGTAGCTCGTAATCTCCATGACCTTTTGAGGTTTTTCACTATTGTGAATTCAAGTATACTCATGTTAGATTTCATTTATCTTTATATGCATTTTACTTTTAAGAAAAATTCGAAAAATACCTTGATTCTTTTTCTCTGATGTTTAAATTCTGAGCAAGTGCATGCTACATCCTCATTGCTTGTGCTCTCATATTTCTGGATGGCCTTGAGTCCAATTGACTTACATATGTCAGATTCTGACCATTGCATACCATATCCATATTCATTTAAATCCTTGACACTTATCAGGAAAAAACAGTTACCCCATGGTTTATGCTTTGCTTATTTATTGGCATTTATTCTGACATTCGTGTTTGCTGTAAGTATTTATTCAAATGAAGCTGCTTTATTAGGAGCCATTGCTTGGTGAGAGGGAAAAATCTTTGGCTGACAAGTGTGAGGAAATGAGTTTGAGTCTGAGAGTCACCACTTTGTGCAAAAATAACCAGAGGTTAGGACCATAAACAGTCCACCCCTTCCAGCATCCTGGATTACTGGGACTATCATTGGGTAATGGTCTTTTAGTAGTTGTCATTATTCATGCCTTCTCATATCTATTTGGGTTAACCTTTTCACAATATGGGCCCATAGCAGTAATCCCATGCTTTTTTTTTTTTTTTTTTGGGGGGGGGGGGACTGCCAAATGGTTAAGAAAGGGATCTCATGCTTTGAATTTTTCTTTTTCCCTTGTACTTTCAAGTATCTTGGGAAAGTGAGGGCGTTTTTATCATTTTTATTTATTGGTAGTGAGATCTGGTCACCAGCATCATTCATCTACTTAGGCTATGTTTGGTATGAAGGAAAATGTAGGGAAACCTTTACAACCCTTGTATTGGTTTCCCTGTCTTTCCCTACCTTTTCCTTCAAGCCAAACATAGCCTTATTGTTTAGTTAATTTTCAGGTTTCATAGTTAATGGTGCAGTAGATAGGAGGTATGGATGTTTTTCTCCTACCTTTGTGTGTATGACATTTCCGTAACTATGGTGAACAATATTCTACCCTATACATCTTCACCTATAAAATTTTCTTTTCTATTCTTTTTGTTTCATTATGTTGTAAAGATTAACTTGTTTTAGAGGTTAATCTTATGACGGTGATGCTTGGAATATTAATTTAATGTCAAAAGTAACATAAAATCATTTGGTAGATTAAGATTAAGATTTGTCAGTTTCTCTTACTGACCAAAAAAAAAAAAAAGATTTAGTCAGTTCTTAACATTTTGGGAGTTTCTTCCTTTTCCAGGTAAAGCGAGAAGAGTTGCTCCAATTTGCACAAGGTGCAATTACAGGGTTGAAAATAAATGCTGATCTTGCAAGGTGGTTAACAGTCTGTATTTTTTGTTTTTTGTTTTTTCTTATATGCATTCAGCCTCAAATGCTGGTCCTTGCTTTCTTATATGCTTTTCTAAGAGTAATGCATATATTATTGATAAAAAAAGAGTAATGCATATATTAAGTGGTCTGATACTTTAATGTATCTATATGAAGCTTCGGCCTTTATTTCGAGTATGCTAGGTGGAAGTAATGTTATGATTGCATTTGGTACCTTTCCCTTTCTTGGAACTTGTCTGTTTCTGATTGAAGTTCGAACCTTGTTAAATTTGACAGAATGAATCTTAATAGACATAGACTGAAAGCAAAGTTTCAGGAAGAGAGGTAATCTGGTAGAGAAAAGCCATGGAATAAATGGATAAAGAAAGGTTTTTTTTTGTTATTTTATTTCAGGAAAAAACAAATTGAAGAAGCAAGAACTCCATTTCGTGCATAATAAAGAAAAAGGTGACAGGATAGATTGAGGGATCAACTTATTTACATTATGGGGAAGGAAAGAGTTGAGATCAAGAGAGTGATCCTTTTGTTTTTATATGCAACTGGGCATTTGGTTAAAAAAGTAATAGGCTTAAGAATAAAGTACAAAACAAGGGAGAGTAACCAAACCCTCTCCAATGTAGAGAATGAGAGCTAGCATCACTGCTACCTCCCCCCAACTAATATTTGTTTACAAAAGGAAACATAAAAAGCCACCATAAAAGCTAAATTCCTGGGGTTATGACTGTGTTTTTTCTTTAACTGTTTGGGTAGCCGAGGCTATTCACTGCTGTAAATTCTGTTATTCTTTATTAATATAAGTTTGTTCTTTTTACTGATCAAAAAAATTAAAAACAAAAAGCCACCATATGAGGTACTATACTACAAAATTTGTCTATGAACTCTCTATCTCTCTCTAGCAAGTGAATCAACAATTGAACCTTTCTTAGTTGGATAGGTTCCTCTTCAACCCAGCCTGGGAGAATTGCTGGGGAAATCTGATTTCTAGAGCTCTGCCTAGGGTCATTCTGATCATTGCCTAATTAAGATTGGTATTGAATCCTTGATTAGTAGACCTAGACCGTTTAGGTTTGAAAATATGTGGCTAACTCGTCTGGACTTTGGGGGTAAAGTGAAGGAGTGGTGGAATGAGGAGTTGGGGGGGATAACATGGAAAGGAATTAAATTTCATAAGAAGTTGAAGAGACTGAAGACCAGGTTGAAGGGGTTGAATAGCAAACATTTTGAAGGGTTGAGGAATAAAAATTGAATCTAATCACACAAATTGAAAAGTTGGATGAGAAGGAATTCCAAGTGCTATCGAGTGAACAAGATAGAGAATTAAGAAGGCATATGAAAAAGAAATTGGAAGATGTCTTACTCAGAGAAGAGGTTTGTTGGAGGCAGAAGTCAAGGCATAAGTGGATTAAGGAAGGTGATGGGAATACTAGGTTCTTCCATGATCTGGAAATGGAAGAGGGAAGAACCTAGTGGCCAAATTAGAATTAGAAGGGCAAGTGATTACCAGTTAGGATGAAATTGCTAGAATTTTTGTGGATCATTTTAAATCTATATTTAGAAGATTGTTGAATGAGTAGTTACCAATGGAAGGGTTAGAGTAGCCAAGTTTGGGAGAGTAAAAAGAAAGGTGGATAGAAAGGAACCTTAAAGAGGAGGAGATTAAGAGAGTTGTTCCTGATGGATAGATTTTAAGGCACCAGGCTCGGATGGTTTTACAATGGCTTTCTATCAAGATTGTTAGGGTGTACTGAAAGATGATTTATGTGATGCTCTTAAGGAATTTACAGAAAACCATATAGTGAGCTCGGGTGTCAATGCCATTTTTTTGGCCTTAGTTCCTAAGAAGCCTAACGCAAATAACCCTAAGGATTTTAGGCCAATTAGTTTGGTAACCAACATTTACAAAGTGTTAGAATTGGAATGAGAACAAAGTGAGCTACGACGCCCAGAGCTTAGAATTGGAATGAGAACAAAGTGAGCTACGACGCCCAGAGCTTAGAATTGGAAGGTGGTCTCCCATGGTTGGCGTTATCAGAGACGTGGGTCTGACAAGCTTGGTGTGGATCGTGATCTTTGGCATTCTTTTACACGTTTGGACTTTGGAGCTTCCATATGTTCAAGGTGGTGGGAGATGTCTGCGGCAGTTTCAGATTTGTAGATGCAAGAGTAAATTCGTGGCAGAATTTGAGTGTTGCAAGAATCTTGGTAGAAGTTGCAGAGGTCCACGAGGTGTTGACTCTGTTAACTCTCTGCTTCAGAGGGGAAAGTTACGAGTTAAGACTTGTGGTGGAAGGCCCCTACCCTCTAAGATGGTTGAACCACTTAGAAGATGGGAGGGGAATACAAGATCGGAAGGAGCTATGTTGCAAAAAAGCTTTTCGTTTTTGAGAAGTCGAAGAGACAAGGAAGGTCAGAGGTAGGCAACGAGGGCAGTTTTGGCATTTTAGGAAAAACGAGGGGGTTTTGAGGGCTTTAATGATGGAGGTGGCTGGCAGAACTTGAGAAATGGAAAAGGGGGTGGGACCCAGGTAGAGGTGGTTGAAAGAGATAGAAAGAAGGATTCGGGTACTGCAGAGGATGGTGGAGTTAGTGAGAAGATTGGGGAGGTGGGACACATGGACAACTTTGAGAACAAAGCAACAATGGTGGAAGCTGAAAACCCGAATGAGAAGAGTAGACCCTTTGAAGAAACAGGTGGGGCCTAAACTTTGAATTTCAATTGCGTTATTAGGGCTAAGGTCAATCGACTTAATGAGGTGAGAATTAATTTTAAGGAAAGGTGGATTTGGGCGATTACCAAATTTGACAAAAATGGAATTAAGAAGCTAGATGGATGCATAGGGGAGGATCACGTCGGAAGTCAGGCCTCTTCTGCGGTTGGAGGAGAGGGTCTGTTCGCTCAGGTTGAAAGAAATACTGCAGTGGCCTGGATCACACTGGAAACTAAGGTTGATGTGTCAACTCTCCAAGAAACAAGAAACGATTTGGTTTCAGTCGACCTTTTGGCCTTTGAGAAGATTTTCCCCAACGAGAGTGGGGGGTTAGAAGAGGGGACTGAGGAAGTTGGGGAGATCTTTGTGGTTTCTGAGTTTGGGGAAGTAGTAGGAGGAAGAGGGCTGAGATAAGATGGAGATAGCGTTGGTGTTTAGGATGAGAATCACGTTGGAGACGCCTTTAGTCTTAAGGAGGTGAAGGTCGGAAGTTTGGGTGTTGACTTGGGTCGAAGAAGCAGGAATGAAGAGAAAAATGAGAGGTTCAACAAAGTGAATGGTAAAAAATCGTGTAGCCTAAGAAACTCTAATGTATTGCATGTAACAAAAATATTCTCTAGGTTGAAGCTCGATCTGGCCAGGACCCATAAAAAACTACAAATGGGTATACAAGAGAAGGAGGAGAGGCAATTTGTCTCCTAGAGCTGAGTCTAAAGGAACAACGATGGAGGAGTAACCACTAGATTCTCTTTTGGGGAAGGATGTTCAAGCCATCAAGGAGGCAATGAGGGTTCTGTTTTTGGTACGAGCACCAAGGTGCAAAGTGATGAGTTTAAGGATAATGCTTCAGGCGGTGTGACTCTTCAAAAGTTGGTAGATAGAGAGGTTACGATCGGAAAAAGTTTGGGTCTCTATTTTTGGGGTGGTGAAGAAGAGTTTGCTAGGAAGGCCTTTGAGGAATTTGAAAGGAGAAAAAGGGAAGAGAAGTTAAAGAAAAGAGCTTTGTTGAAAGGAGGTGAAGCTTGGGATGAGGAAGTTTCAGATCAGGAGGATGAGATCGTGGATGAAGATTGAGCATCTCTACCAGGTGTTTCAAGGTTTTTAGCTTGAGCCCAGTTTAGTATGAGTCGTTGGCATGTAAGTTGTATGCTTGTTTGCTGGGTCATTTAGTTGTTCTCTCCTTTCGGATGATATCTTATCATCTTCTTTCTGTAATTATTTTTCCTTTTATTCTTCAAAAAAAATTACAAAACCTTAGCTAAGGTTTTGTCTCTAAGGCTTAAAGAAATTCTCTCTTCCTTAATCAACCAATCCCAAGGGGCTTTTGTATAAGGGAGACAAATAACAAACCAGGTTTTGATTGCTAATGAGTGTTTGGAGGATATGAGAAGATCTAAAAGAATAGGCTTTGTTTGTAAGTTAGATTTGGAAAAGGCTTATGATCTGGTGGACTGGCATTTCGTTTTACAAGTTTTGAGAAATTGTGGTTTTGGGGACAAGTGGTGTAATTGGATCTTTGGTTGTGTTAGTTCTGTCATTATTCTATCTTGGTCAATGGAGTGGTGAAGGATTTCTTCCTAGCCTATAGAGGTATTACGCAAGGTGACCCTCTTTCACTTTTCCTTTTCACTTTAATAGTAGATGTGCTTAGTAGAATGGTCTTGAAGGTTGGCAGAGAGGATGTAGTAAAAGGGTGGAGAATAGGCAGAGATGGTATTCTCTTTACCCATCTCCAATTTGCAGATGATTTGCTGATTTTCTATGACGGGAATGATCTTGAGAAGGTGAGAAATCTTAAGTAGTTGGTTAGAAGCTTTGAGAGGTTGTCTAATTTGAGAATCAACCTTGGAAAGAGTTGTGTAGCTGGTGTCAGCTTGGAAACTAGTGAGGTGGAGGCTATTGCAAGAGGCTTAGAGCGCTCCATTTCTTCCTGGCCCATGACCTATTTGGGTCTTTCTTTAGAGGCAAACCCTAGGGAGAGTAGTTTTTGGCACCCAGTGGTAGAGAGGTTTCAAAGAAGTTGGCCTTGTGGACAAATAATTTTATCTTGTTGGAGGGTAGAATCACTTTGATAAGAGCTACACTTACTAACCTACCAACCTACTTCCTGTTTGTCTTTAGGATTCCACATAGGGAAGCCAATAAATTGGAGAAATTGATGAGAGACTTTCTTTGGGAACCAGGGGAAAGTATGAAGGATCATTTGATAAAGTGGGAGGTGGTATGTTGTAATAAAGAGGAGGGGGTTTGGGATTAGGGGACTTGCTTCAAAAGAATACAACGCTACTAGGGAAGTGGCTATGGAGATGGCCCTTGGAGAGGGAGAGAGATTATGGCATAAGGTGGTAAGAAGTATTCATGGCCGAGGAAAAAATGGGTGGGATGCTGGAGTATCTCAGCGGGCAACCTTGGCAACACCATGGAAAGCGATTCATGGTATTCTTCCTCAATTTCTTAGGTTTGTCAGCTATGATGTTTGTGTTGTTAACTTTGTCCTCTTTTGGGAGGATATTTGGGTCGGAGAGGCTCCTTTGAAGGATCTCTTCCCTTCTTTATTCTCTGTTTCTTGGTATAAAAAGAACTTTGTATCAAACTTTTTCTCCCCTCTAGAAAATCCATTGGCACCAAACTGGGGTTTTGGGTTTTGTAGAGGTTTAAGGGAGGAGGAAATTGATTGTCTAATTAGCCTGTTAAGCCTTCTTGATAAAGTTTGTTTGGACCCCCTTTTGAACTAGATATGCGCATTTGGACGCCTCGGTAGAATGGGTCTTTTTTCTTGTGCCTCTTTTTTCAAGTCACTTTCTCAGTCTCCTTCCAACTAACTCTTCCCCGTTAAGGAAATTTGGTGCAAGCCTATTCCCTCTAAGGTTTTGGCTTTTTGCTGGGAAGTGCATTATGGGAAAATAAATACCTTAGATATCCTACAAACAAGAAGATCTTTCCTTTGTATCTCACCTAATTGTTGTGTATCCTTTGCAGATCTCATGGTGAGGTTTGTTACCATTTACTAATATCATGTTCCTTTATTGCAGAGTTATGGGAGTGGCTCTTCTTGTTGTTTGGGTGCAGGTGGCATAGGCCAGCATAAGTAAGCTTGCTTTTTGATCCTTCTACCTTCCCTTGGTGTCAAAGAAGAGGAAGAACTATGTGGAGGTATGCAAGAGCAGCCTTGATTTGGACAGTGGGAAGAAAGGATTGCCAGGATTTTCCAAGAGGAGAGGAACCTACAAGAATTGAAGGAGTGCATTTATGGTAATTTTGTGGCTAAAATCCCTGGATTCATTCCACCAATTCTTCTTTAATGATATCTGGAGGAATTGGTCAGCAGTAGCAAGCTGCTCCTCTCTAAGATTAGAGAGTATGAGTTGGGAACCCCCTCCTGAAGGTTTCTTGAAGCTGAATTTTGATGACTGCAGTCAGGGTAATCCAGGCCCTCTGGATGGGAGGGGTGTTGAGGGATGAGGTTGGTATTGTGGTTCTCCTTTACTCAGGTCCTCTAGGAGTTGGGAACTCTACTAGGGCAGAATTGCTAGCTTTCATCCAGGGTGTACAGCTTGCAGTTCAGTTAGGTGTGGAACAGCTGCTAATTGAAGGGGATTCCAAGGTGGTAGTGGGTCGGCTACAGAATTCAGAGTCTATAGTATGGTTCTTTAAGAATGGAATTAAAATATTCAAGTGGCTGACAAGGAGCTTAACTGTAAGAATACAATGGGTGGGGAGATCAGTAAATGCTTTGGCTGATTGCCTAGCAAAGAAAGGGGCAAACAGAGAACAATTGTAATGGGCTCTGTTGTAATTTGAATTTGAATTTGGTTTCTGTTTTCTGTTTCTCCTTGTTGTTAGGAGAGGATGCAGCTCGCACCTCTTAATGAAATCTTAATTTTATTTATAAAAAAAGACTTTTTAATAATTTAAATAAAAGAATGAAGTAAAAATTGAGATTTTGCCAAGCATCCCTTTTGATAGGCTAGCATTTGCTACTCACCCCACTTGTATCGGTTATCTCTTATTTATCTTCACAAAATTACTTTCATCCGCTTGGGATGCAATCCCTCAATACATCTTTTATATGAACCCCCTGCCTTGCTAAAGCCTCAGCCGAAAAATTAGCTCTGTATCCAGTTGTAATTTGTCATTGGCTCCATAGCTAGAAATTTTGCCTTCTTTGGTACCAAAGGCATAGAGTGCGTTAGATTATCCAGGGATAAATCCAGGTAGACAGGTGTAGAGTTTAGTTTCTATTTTCTACTTGGAAATGCATTGTTTTGTCTTTGCCAATAAAATGCATATTATATGTCTAGCTTGAAGTGGGTGGAAAAACTAATATTGTTAGTGCTATTCTATTTGTTGTTTTCTGGTCACAGAATAGATGCTGAGATTTCAAAACTGCAACAAAAAATTGATGAAATGAGAGCTTCTCGTCTGTCTTCAAGCAAAGCAGATGAGAAAACATCTGAAAAAACAACTATTGCAACACTGGAGGTGAGTTGTATTTTATTATTCCCACAAATATCTCATCTAATTATCTTAAGATGACATGTGAGAATGCTGGTTTGAGTCTAAAATCAGCCACTTTGTGCCAAAAAATGCCAAAGGTTAGGACCATATCCACTTCACCCCTCCCATGACTCCAGATAACTGGGATCAGCATTGTGTAATGGCCTTTGTCTAATATTTAGTTGGATTCTAAATACAGTATTAAGCACTAGTTTTTTAGGAACAGATTTAGCATAGTTGTCATTGCTCTTAGGTTATTGCAAAGTTTATTAGGAGTGCAAATGAGACAAGGCGCAAATTATAGTTATTAATAATTATAATTTGCAAGGTTTATTAGGCAAGAAATTTTCTACATTTATGAGAGCAGTTTATAGGCCTGATCAGGTTAATATGACCAAAAATGGATTGGAGTGAACTGGATATACCCAGATCTAAATTTGATTCATTAATATTCGGATTCAAGTAGAATCTTATCCATTGGATTTAGATAGGACTCAGATCAGCTTTAGATATTAAATACCATTAATAAATTAAATTAAAATGATCAGAATATTTTATATTATTAGTAAGATAAACCAAAAATGACGTTGGTAGTGTATATCATGGATAAAATGACTTGAAAATAACTTATATGAGACTTGAACCTATGATTCTAGACATGCAATATTCTAACCAACTTTACTAATAGATGCATATTTAAGTTTATGTACATGTATATAATGGTTAAGTTTTTTTTTTTTTTTAATTTTTAATTTTTTATCAATCACCAGGTCAAAATTCTTTGTTAACAGGTAAGCAATATACAATCCTCTAGTTTCCAAGACAGGAAAACCAGATCCAAAACCTTTTAAAGAAACACAAACTAAAATATAAAATGCATTAGAGATTCTTCAGTGAGACAAAAGCAACTGTTAAGACTACATTATTCTTCTACGGAGACACCCCAATACATATTACCCCTTCCCGATCTACTCTTGCTAAATTGTCTGCTACAGAATTTGTTGTTATCAATACACATCTGAATGAGGTTTTTTCTCCAGATGCAAGAGCTCTAGCCTCTCTAGCACCTGTTCTGGAGGAGCCGTGATCCTTTACTAGCCATCCAAAAGCCTAAAGTTAAATGAGAATCTCCTTTTATCTCCACTTTCTGAAAATTCATGAAAACAATTAGTAAGCCTTGTAAATCATCTTTTGGTCAAGGGGAGTCTACTGAGCCTATAGGACCTTTTAATGTTAATAGGATCACCTTTTGAAATCTTCTATTCAATCCATATACATGTTCTTACTTATTTCCTGACTTTGTTCTCTATCTGTATTCATGCTTTTTGCTTCATATGATAATAGTATATGCTCAACTTTGAGCTTGCAGTCTCTAAAAGACGCGCTTGCAGAAGTTCGGCTTTGTTCCAAATTAGAAGCACTCTTGCTAAAGAGGAAATCACTAAATAATGGAGATTCACCAGAGATCCATTCTCAAAAGGCTAGCTTTAATCTCCTCTCTTATTCTTGTCATTGTTTTTCTATCTCTGAATCTATGCCTTTATTATGATGTTGGATCTTTTTCTTATTGATTTCTGTACTTACTATTAGGTGTTTGAGCCATGCTCACATTGTGGTTATGCTTTTGCATACCTTAATCATTCCTAGACAAGTGGCAATTATTGTTTGCTTTATATCAAGTGCAACATAATGAGATGCTGTAATAGTCTTGTAGTCTGGGTAGGTTCCTATGTTCATACTGGCTGCTTCTTATGTCTGGGGCTACAGGCATGGAACTGTCTGTGCACCCCACAACTCACTATATTTGGACCTTTCTTCAGTATAAAACTGTGGCTGCATGCTACAGTTTGGGCTCACACTTCTAAAATGGACATGAAATTTCTTAACCTTTTGTTTGGTTGTTGGGCTAACACATCTTGATGATTGCATACCACCGACGGACCTTCAAATATCAAACCTTTGCCAGTTTTTCTGCAAGGTTTTGTAAGCAGCGAGGTGATGGTTCCTTGGATGAAACATCTCAATAGTCTTCTATCTGTTTGTACATTGACATGTTGCTTGCTTCTTTGCCCAAAGCAAGGTCTAAAATATCAACACACAATACACGAAAGTTGCGTATTGTGTGTTTCAAAGGTGCAATGCTCTTTTTCAGGATGATAATTCACAGATGGATAGCTGAGGATGTGCATTAACATTTTAAACCATTAAAATGCCCAAAGTCTCAGTATTTTTTTTTTGGTATCCAATAGTCTCAATATCAATATGATGCACGTGATACAATGTGATATATGTCAATACTTAAAACCTTGGTTTAATTGACATCCAGGTTGATAAGTTGAAAGTCTTGTCAGACTCTCTTGCTAACTCCACCTTGAAAGCCGAAAAGCGCATTTCAGATCACAGGTTAGAAATAGCATCTTCTGATAGTTTTATTGCTTATGCTTTTGCCTTCCTAAAGAAAACCTTCATTGGCATGTGTATGGAGACCTATGTCATGCTATATACTAGTAAGCTACTGACATGCTAGGGGTAGAAGCATTGGGCCAGTTCCCAGTCTTTGCTTTGGACAGGGTCTTCATACTTAATATAAGTGCCTAATCAATTACTATAGGAAAAACTAAAGACAAACTGGATGTGTTGGGCTCTGACTTTATGGTTGGTACTTGTAGGGTATATTCAACCAGAGAGGCAGAGAGAGTTGAGTATCATTTGACAAGTTATGGGGTGCCTTTGTTAAGATATATTTTAAGCATGTCTGCAAGTACTTAAATGTTAGTCCTTGCCATTAAAAAAAATTATGCAAGATTGATGTTCACATGCCACCTTCAGAATGACAGTGCAATCCATAATGAGTATATATATAGTTATATACTACTCGGGTGTAATATTAGTTTATTTTCCCCAAGTTCTTCTATTCATCCTGTCCAAACACAAGACTGAAAATGAATGACCTTCTATGGTTGGTGGGAAGATCATGCCCTCCACTAGGTTCTTGTTGCTAAAATCTGAATACAGCATCATTTTATTCTATTTCAGATTGATGATTTGTCTCGATTTCTGTATAAGGAAGTTTAGTATTCGAAATTTCTAATTATTCTTTGTGTATACTAAACAGGCACCAAAAAGAAGAGGCTCTTAAATTTCGTTTTGCCAAAGCTGGTGAGGTTAGCGAAATTGAGAAGGTATGGTGCTTCTAGATGATCTACGATTCATTTTCTTGTTAAAAAAAATTCAACTGTTTGGGAACTGGTAATTGATATTACTTATTTTGCATGTCTAGATTAAGATGCTCAACTTTGGCATCTTTAATATTATTTTAATTTTTAAAGAGTGAGTGAAGCCTATACCTTGGTGATAGGGGTGTTAATAGGTAACCTGATCACCCAGGTACCTGGCATACTTTTACTGATCATTAGGGTTTTTTGATCAACATACTGATTGTTAGGGTTTGGGTCCATAAGCATTTGTCTTCATCATAAGAGCATCCAATTTGGATTCCATATTTAAGACCCATGAGAATCTAGCCTGTTTCCAGGCACATACAGGATAAAAATACGGGTGTATGGATCTTTAAGTTTATAAAGGGAAGTAAACTATTTATTTCCATTTGCTTTAGCTAAGTGTGTGCAATAAACTAAACTTTCTAGTGTTTTTATATAAAAGTCAATTTTCATATATCTTATGATTCAAGGAACAAGGCTCGACTATAGGGGTAAGGTTTGTTGACATGATAATACATTTAGACATGGTGAAGATCTGAGGGTAAAATTAATGCACATAAATGGAATATTCTTTTTTTTTTACTTTTTTGGGCTTGCATGTATGTGTGTGGTGTTGGGGGGGGGGGATGGTACAATAGCCGCCTCTGGTAAGCTTATTTGGCGAAGCAAGTATGTGCACAAGCCATGAAGTTCACTGTGGAAAAAAAACATATTTGAATTAGTGCTGCACATCAACCAAAGATGCCATGATCTAAAGGTTATTTCTGCCTTTATGATAGTGGGGAGAATGGAAGAACCATAAGATCTGGACTTCTCCTCAACCATATTTTCCCTGGAAAATATCTAGGCTTATATCTATTAAGAGGGTTTTATACACTTCTGCCATATTTATCTCTTATCACTTTTTCAAGAACATCTATCCCAAAGTTACCAAGTGTATGATATATAAAAGAAGGGCTTTAAGTTGGTACACTATATTACCAGGTGGGGTAAAAGACAGGGTTAGTGAAATAGTTCATATATCATATATCAAAGATCTGGTATACCACCTTTTGCTTGCATGTAAGAGAACCAGTAGCTCTGTAAGTTTCACAAAAAAGGCTGAGGCGTTTTAACCTGCCTAGATTTTAAGAGGTTGCCACTTCTAGCACAGTATTTCAATGTTCAAAGATCATGCCATTTACCTGATTACCACTGATTATTTGGCAGGTTTGATCTGGAATCCCCTGTAACTTACCCAGACTTTGGCAAGATAAGACCTATAACTGATGAGAGTCAAGGTCTATATATATTGCCTTGGACCTGAACTATTTACCCCACCCC